CTACTTCTTTTGCAAATTACAGAACTGAAAGTATCAAACCCTGTGTATTCATCTCCTTTTAGATTTGTGACCTGAAGAGCTCTTTACAGAGAGGTGCTGAGTGCGTTGCTTCCCTCCAAACCCAGGGTCTGCGTGGGTCTCAGCTGTATTCCAAATCCATCATAGCCTTAGAATACATGTAAATCTGTTAAAAAGAACCCTCTGAACTTCTTGGTTTCTTCCTCTTCCAAAAGCACAGGCATCATCAGTACTGGGATCAGGCTGCAGCCAAACAAATAGGGTCTTTCTATACCATGAGCTAGCCATGCCTTTGCAATATGAAGTTCCCAGAAATGGTAGCAGACGTCAAAATTTGAAACCTCTGGTCATTTTCATCTTATTTATGCTCTTCTGTTAACAAATGCCTTGTTTGATTACTTTTAAATGTTGTGTTTCTGGAACGAAAATAGAATACTGGCTTTTAACTCTGGCTTTTAATTCTCTCTGCCTTATTATTTCAGCTTATGAGAAGGCTGAGAGAGGGTTTTTTGTACAAAGACTGGATTGTTTTAAGATCATTGTAAAGCCAAATGTTTAAATACTGACCTTTTTAACTTACTTCCAGTGCTCTGCAGTAATTGGAAGAAAGCTTGAATCTTTTTCTAGGACTTCTTAAAAAGCCCTTAGTTGATGGAAAAGTTTTATGTCAAAATCTTGGCTAACTATTAGAACAGTCTACAAGACCCTGGTGGAAACCTCTTGTGTTCTGGGATTTCTCTGACTTGTGATATTGCTTTTTAGCTAGACTGACTTTTCTGATAATGAAATGAAATGAAAAAGAGAGCTGTAGACGTTGTACTTGCCATGAAGCCATGCAGAAGAGGAGTTCAGGATTGGGATGTATTTTGGTTAACAGCTGTTTTACAGGGCTAATGCAAAGGATATGAGGAAGGGGAATAGATGTCAAGCATTTGTGCAGAATAGTCTGAAAAGTGCCTCAGAACTGAGTATTTATCTGAATTTGGGGAAAATATAAATCTCCACCTGAAGTTCATGGCTGCATTTTCTTTAAACACAGAAGGTTCTGTCCATGCTTTGCAGCTGAGCAATTGTAATGATGTTGCTTAACCAGAACCCCTTAATCTGGCACCAGTATTCTCTCTTGACCATCAAGGAATGAATTAGAACACCAGATGGGATAAGACTGGTAATCTTTTTATGTGCTGAAAACAGTTAGAAACCTTTGCAAAAATTTATCCAAAGCTTTTAATTGGTATTAAAAATGTTTATCACTAATTCACTGATAATTGGTGTCTAAATCTGTCAGCTCCCAGGGCAGAGCTGCAGCTTCTTAGATCAGAAATACGTTCTGTTTTCTCTCCAGCTGGTTTCCTGTAAAGCACTGAATTATTCTAGCTTTTATGGGTCATTGTTAAAAATGGCAGGAAGGGTCATTGTTAAAAATGTTTTCAGAACTTTGATAACCAGTTTTATCAACTGATTCACATGTTTAATCAGTTAATAGGTTTTCCTTTTCAGTGCATGGGAATTTCTTTGTTTATCTTAACTGAGTAACTGTTTCTCCAGTAGAAAGCACTGTAGTTGGCTGATAATCTTTTCAAATATGTGGAGTTTCTCTTGTGAGGCAAGTTCTATGGCCAGATCCTGCACTTTTACTCTGACTAAGTCTGTATTAATAGAGAATAGTCCACTGGGATAAAGTGCAAGGGTTTGCATATGAATGAAACCCCCAGATGGTTCTGTATCCTGGGGGTGCAGAGCATGGAGCTGCAGTTATTAGGCAGTTTATGATAAGATTTTGAAAGGCATTTGGGTATTTAAAGAAGAAAGACCAGGTCCTTTTATGAATTTTACTGGGTAGTTGAGTGCCAAACATCCGTGGTTCCTCCAGTACCTGATCAAGAATTCCTTAACAGGATGCTTTGTCACTGAAAACGCAAATGTCAAAAGGCGCGTGTTTAGCATGAAGCACCTTGAAGAACTGAGATCCTCTGCCTCTCTGGTGACCTGCTCTAGGGCTGCACCACCTTTCTTCTGAAAGTATTCTTCCTAATCTCCAATCTGAACTTGCCAAGACACCATTTTTGGTACTGCCCCTGTTCTGTCATCTATGTCAAGTGAGAAGTTTGGCTCTGTTGCCACTATAATTTCACTTCAAGTAAGGGGATTCAGTGTAAGCTACTTCCTTGGAGGCTGCTATTAGAAAATCAGCATCTCTTCATCAGACCAGTGAGGCCAGGGCCATGCTTCAGATAAAGCCCACTTTGCCTTACTTGCTGAAAGCTCACTGTTGGCTCATATTCAGCTTGAAAATGGGGTTTTTTTCTGCCATTCCCATTGTAATAAGGCCGATCTGCTCCTGTGTTTATAAACAAGCCTTAGGCCAAGCAGAACTGTAAACTTGTGTTTTGGTTTTTTTGAAATAAACTCCATGATGTTTGCTTTCTATGTAAGGAGCCACTTGGCATGAAAGATACACAATGATAAAGCTGCAAAATTTGAGTTTACATAACATTTATCTGCCTTGAAATTGCAGTTGCTTACAGAGCCCTGCCACACTCAGCTGGGTTCGTAAGAGGACCGTATCCAGACAATCACAGCAGCTTCTGGGACCTGGCATTGTATGTGCCCATGTGAGAAAGAGTTAGCAGCTTGGTTTCTGTGGTCTGGTTTCTTTCTAGATTTGTTCATTCCAGTTGCTGCATGAAGGAAATGTGTTTCAATGAACACAAATCATAAGGAAAAACGCAGGTTACGCTGGAAACATGGACATGGGAGATTTATTGGTATCCTTGGACTGAGGCAGGCACAGACAGTGGGTTAAGCCATCTCCAAAACTTGTGTTGAGTCAGCCACTGTTTCATATGGAGAATGAATTCACTGTTTTATTTGGTAAATGAAAACTTCCTGAGGCTTGAGCAGGTTCTAGACTTGGAGAAGCATTGCTGTGTATCCACTATGGGGTATTTAACTGTGGATGCTGGAAAACAACAATGCCAGTTTTGCTTATGATGTGTGAATACGTACCTCTTTACAACATCTTTCATCAAAAAATATGCTTATTTTTAAAATGCTGCTGTGAAATACGGTAAAAATGAATGGAGTGTGGTGATTGGAAGCTGAGGGGGGTTTTGTTGTCAGTTTTCTGTTCTGTTCTGTTGAAAACCTGCTCTTTGTTGGAAAGTCAGAAGCAAATAAGATCGTCCAATTTGTTGAAGTTTTCTGAAACTTAAACCCGATTCATTAGGTACAACACAAGTGCAGAGTGTAGGCAGTTATTAGAATTTCAACAGCAAAGACTGCAGCCCATGAAACATCAGACTTATTTCCTTCTCGTTTAAAACATCGCAGTATGCTTTGTCCCAGTTAAATGTGCTCTTGAGCTTTTATGTCAAAGTGAATCATGATCTAATGCTCACCAGATTAAATCTAAACGTTGCAGTATTTCCTTTCTAATTTTGGCTCTTCCCACTATGATAATATTATTTGTCTAGTCAGTTATGTGCAAGTGTGAATGAGAAGATGTAATTTTTCTGGGGATGCAAACACCCATGGAATTATCGCCCAAGGAAACCACGCTCCGCTTGCCTTTGCTTCATAATTAGGTAAAACGCATAATAAGATCCATGTCTCTGAGGCCAGCGTGGCCCAAAAGACTTCCATTTGTGTGAATTTCTGGTACAAATGTTAAAGATCCCGGCTACTTAATCGGTTGCTAAGCGACACGCCGAGAGCATTGGGGTTAATGGCCACTGGGCCTAGGGCAGCCTGCTCAGCCGAGCGGGTGCTGAGAGGAAGGGACAGGCAGGGCTGACACCGGCGGCCACCTGCGCTGTGGGTTATTAGAACATTGCATGTCAAAGCGGTGGTGGCGGGGGAGCAAACAGGCCCAATTACCGGGGCTGAAAGCCCCTCTCCAGCCGCCCGTCACTAACACGCCAGATAAAATTTGACATCTCCCCCCCTTCCCCCTGCTCCAAACCCCAATTAATTTAAATGGGTTTACTGAGGGACCGCGGCACTGCTGAAAAGGCAGAGGGCTTTGCTCGGGTAATCAGCTTAAATACCGTTTCCTGCCCTCGCTGCTCCAAACTTCCCATTTGGGAGACATAAATACTGGTTTTATTTTAAAATCTTTTTTAGCTCCAATTTCCTCCAGTTTTTTTCTGATGTGCCTTCTCCAAGCGCCATTTCAAAGCGCCAGGATGGTAAAGCCTGTAAACTGGATGCAGACTGGAACTTCTAAGTTCAATGTTGATAGCCTTTATTGGAAGGAAGGGGGTAATGACGGGTTTCACATGGAAAAGGCACATCTTCTCTCACAGTCAGAAACTGGTGATAATTAGGAAGAAATTCACAGCTTCTTTTATTTTATACTTCTTAAGCATTCTTGCCTAAGTCAGTGTTTTGCATCTCCTGCTGCAGCAGCAGATCAGTGATTTTTTGAAGTTAAAATAAAGTAACAGCTCTATGCGTGCATTTATAAATATATTTATATGGTATTTTATAATCTGTAGTATATAAGACATGCCAATGTCTGTGTCAGTTGTATAATAAGCTTTGAAATGTCAGTACTACAAGACCATGTATAGATAGAAGTTGTTTTAGAAGCATCTTCAAATTCAGTATGAATCCATAGTTCAGCTTCTGCCAGGACTTAATTCTTCTCTGCGTTACTCAAGGGAATTGCCATCAAGTGGAAGAGTGCTTTGCAGGGTCAGGGTCTTTACTCAGGTGAAAGGCTTGAGTGTGTTTAATTTTAGGAGGGTGAGTAATCTGTGGAAACATTCCTGTGCTTCAAATTAGCCGTGCACAGAATTTTATTCCTGTATTCACCAAGAACTTTTTGTCCATCACACCCCCCTTCTTAAACCGATGGGGGAATTCTGTGTTCCAGCAGGAGAGCTTGGGGTCAAAGAAATACCCCGCTCTTGAGAGTGTTTGTTTCTTTTAAATGACAGTATTTCTCTAACTTCACATTCTCTCCTTTTCTTAACAAGCAGTAGCACTTGGCCTAGAAGACAAACTGCCTTCCAGCCACAATCCCTCACCATGGCTGATGCAGCGGTGACCTCCGTAGATGGCAGCCAGCAGCAGAACCGCAGTGGGACCTGCAGCGATACAGTGAGTCCATCTTCCTTTTCCTACCTGTCATGCCATTCTCAGAAATTTCTGCCCAGCCACTTTAGGGATCTATGTGAAGCTCTTGCATGTTTTTAAACTAGAGGCTGTAAGTGACACTACGCAGGTTTCTGGAGACAGGTACATGTTACACATTAGGAGAGGTTCCTCTGCTCCTTAAAGCCCAGGTTAGGAACTGTGTGGCTGTTCTGGGCTTTCAGTGCTTACATGAGGTGTACGTGTCCACCTGCACAGTGTGTGTTTGACAGTCTGTGTTCAGAATCTAACTGAAATCTCCTAAGAAATGTTCAGAAGCTACTCTGATGTTAAGAAAAACTGGTCTGTAGGAAAATCCAGGTTTTTATCCCACCATTGTAATGGATCAATCTTTGTTTTGCAAGGAAGCGGCTGGGTGGTGGTGCTATTAATCATGTTAGTTGATTGGAAATGGCATTGGGTTCCACATCCAGAGTTTTCCCTGGTGCTTTGTAATCAAGCAGCTGGACTCAGCTCAGCTCCTGCAGGGGCACTAAAATAAATTGACAGACATTTGCAAATCTGTTGCAAACATCTCTTCCAAAGCTAAGCTTAGGTAGATAAAAGCTGTCAAGCCTTCTTAATCATTAACAACCTAACAGTCATGTTTAAAGTGTGATTTTCTCCGGGGAGAAAGATACTGCATTCTTCATGTCCTGTCAGAAACACAAGTATTCATTTCCATCCATCCCAACCAGAAATGGATAATAACTTTTCCTGACTGGATTTAATGGGAAAGACAGACTCTGTTCCCAGGTGTTTGATAACTGAACAATTGCTTGTTTTTAACATTTTATTGATGTCAGTTTACGCATTTGCTAACATTTCTTGTTTTAAATGTTATCCTCTGTGCTGCTATTTCTCCAGCGCTGTTTTTCTAGCGTCGTTTAATGATGAATCATGAACATTATATATGTGTAATGCTTTATATATACACACATATATATTTATATAAAAATCTGGGTGGTGGCAGGGAGAGACTTATTCTGTCTGCTCCATCTTTTGTTTTGATCTAGTTGCTATAGAAATACTAAGATCAATTTTGACAGAATAAAACTCTACAAATTACATTGTCGGATGACCTCATTACAGAGGGCTGGCACTTTGGATTGCAACATGACTGAAAGGAAAAGCGTGAAGGCTACAGGAATTTCTGCTCTATGGAAAAATGTTATTTTTGGAGTCTTCGGGAAGGCGTGCATATAAACCCCCGGTTCCCTGGTGAGTGACTGGTCCCTGAGACCAGCAGAACTTTCATCTTAATTTTTGGTTGTGGTAGGTGACATCATATTTGGCCATCCATTTACTTTAAGCTGCAACTGGCATCTCCCTGACAAAGGCCTCCATGTTTTTCCTGTCAAACACTTAGGTAACTGATTTCTTACAGCAAGACTGATGGAATGAGTCATTTTTATTTCCTTTTCTGGTGTCACCTAACACCTGTGTGCCTTTGTATTGATACTACTGACATTGGTTTTGTGATGTTTTCCCTCCCTGTTTGAATAGAAAGTACTGCACTGTGCCTTATGGTCTCAAAACTAGCTAACAGAAACAACTGCCCTTTAGTTCCTAACCAGTGAAGGACATGGTTTTAGAACAAGGAACTTTGAGGTGTAGTCTGACTTGCCATAGGAGGTCTCTGTGTTCTGTGGAGACAACCCTGAAATCTCAAGTTGCGATAGGTTTCTTTTTCATGCTGGTGTCACTTAGACATGTCTACATGCAGATATGAGCCTTGCTTGGAAAAAGGTTTGCGGTTTGAGTCAGGAAAGTGTCTTGTGTCTTGCTCCAGCTACTTTAGTAGAACTTTATTGCTGTGTTAGTAAAAGACATGTTTAGTACCAGGTTTTATTTAAGAAACCATTTATACATTGTCATTATTTGTATACAGGGACACAATCTGTGTGATTTGGCAAACGGTTGGATCACTCTGTTTTTCTTCTAGTCAAGAATATTACTCTTGCTATATCTAATCTCGAGTTGTAAATTGCAGCAGAGGTACAAATCCAAAACAAACATTTTAAAGAATTTGAATGGAGTAGAGCCCCAATTTCCATTTCAGTACTCTCTCTGTTGTCCAATTTGTTAAACTCAAGTGGTCCCATGTGTGAGTAGCATGACTGCCAGAAGTGCTCTCCAGCCATCTGCTTTTTTGGTAAGTCTTTGATTATTGCTTGGTCCATTTTTCTATCCAAAATTAGAACTGGCAACTCAATTGGTTGATTAATACTGTATTTTTAATAATTTAACATTTCCAGCTTATGGCTAGGGAATGGCAGCAAGGTAATAAAAAGCACAAGAAATAAACTTTCCTACCGGCTTTCAACTGTACTATGGTGGGGCTTTTTTACCCCCTTTTTTCAGCCTTTGAAGAGTAGCAAGAGAATTGAATAGGAGAAGTTTTACTGTTTGTGGATAATGTCAAACTGGAAGGAAGAGAGATAGCAGCCTGCGTTAACTTGATGAGCTGTCTTGGAAATGTAAAGAGCTGCCAGGCACTGATAGAGGCATTCGCAGTAGAACTGAACTTAGAAGCTAGCACAGTGCTTGAATCTAAACCAAACTTTACAGTAGAGGAACAAAAGTTAATGAACCTGAAAGCTGGTTCAGAAACCTGTGGGAGAGACTCTGATCTGTGTCCTGCAACTGGATGGGGCATGTGATCTGATTGTCTCACTGAAACTTAACTAGAGGTTCTGGGATTCTTCACTGAGAAGGGCTGAAGCTTGGTCCTGTGCTGGTATCCAGAGGCACATGAGGGAGTCAGGGCGGGAGTGGATGCTGTGAGGTGTGATGGTACACTGAAGTGCACCAGCCTCTGGCTGGATGTTCCTCCTGCTTCAGGTCATCAGAAGGAGCTACTAGATCTTTCAGAGGCTGTGGTTCATTTGGGCTGACTTGCAGAGTTTAATACTTTGGTGATGAAGGGAAAGTTGGCTTCAAAGGAGGCAGCCTAGAGGACTCCTGAATTTCAGCCAGCCCTCTCACACAACCTCTCAATCCATACGTTCACCCTCATAATTTTGCTTACTGTGTTGACAGAGGGAAAACAATCCCTTCAGATCATAAAGGGCTCTGGAAACTCAACTCCCTTTGCATATCAAGAATTACCCTCTGGTTGTGTAGGAGACCTTGGTATTCATCAGAAAGAAAATCAGAAGTTCACAGAACTGGTGGTTTCAGCGGTGCTCTCAAGGGTGGGCTGCTCTGGCCTGCTGTATCTGGCTGGTCTGCATCTCTTGACTTACAGGCTGTTAATGGCCAGTAGTGCTCAGAGTTGTCAGGATGGAGAAAAGGCAGGTGCTGATTCCAAATACACAAATACTCAATACATGAAAATATTTTTGGTTTAAATTATAATAAAGGGTGGAGGAGGGAAGAGGAAAAGAGAGTGATTTAGCAAGTGGGGATGTGGTGGGAGCCAGCCAGGCTGGGGCTTGCTAATATCTGCACTAGGTTGTTGAAAAATGTCCTAAATTCATCAGAAGGTCCTGAGAGCTCAGCTCTGCCCAGTCTGAGTTAGTGGTGATAGGATTGGGCCCTCTATTACTTTTTATGTGCTGTTATAAATTACTTTCCCATATTTCCAAAGCCATTAATGAATCTTTTCAAAGCACATTGTGAAATCATTGTATGTGTTACTTCAACTACTTATCCATATGTACAATAGGTGAGTATGATACATGGGCTTTTTTGTTTGGTTCTGCTTTTGCAAAAACAAAGGGCAAACTACAAATCTTTCCTCCTTTCCCCACTTTGATTTTTCCAGGTAAAATGATGGCAGATGTACTCAGCTCAGTTCCATAGGACACATTGCTTACTGAAAGTATGAATTTAGCTCTCTGCCCTTTTACTGTAAACTTGGTTTTGTTTTTTGGATGTATTTCTAATTTCCTTTAAACCGTTTACGAACAGGTTAGAAACACTGTTTCATGCTGTCTGACTCTATTTATAATCAGACCTCTTGATATGGGCTCTTTAGGAATCTGTCAAGTAGGAACAAGCTGTATGGTAAACAAGCATCTCCGAACTCTTCCTGCTGCAGAAATACACATTGTTTTGTTATTCCTTAGAGCATTCTGCCTTTACCTAGTGTTATAGTCGGGCTTTAACTGGTAACTGTTATTTCCAGGAAGAATGTTTGGTTTTAATCCTCTAGGGTACAAAAAGAAGTCATTTTTGCAACAACATTCATGTTCCATTAAAAATATCATTGGAAAACTGTGGGAGCTGGGGTTTTGGTGACAGAGCCAGAAGGCTGCTGGCTGCTTTGCCTGCTCATTACAGTGACATTGCAAAGCCAAGACAGTGATTCACTGTCACTGGACATGATGACCTCCAGAGGTCCCTTTACACCTAAGTTACTTTATGATCCCATGAAAAGGGAAGGTTCCCTGTGCTTTCCAATGGGCTCTGCCACTGAAGTGATCCACTCTGCTTCTGCATTTGCTGGTGATGATAATGTTTCTTTCTGTAGCTGTAAGAATACAAGAGAGGATTTTTCTAAACCATTGCTGATGGGCTTGACCATCCTCTAGTGGCTAAAAATTGAAAATGACCCACAGCATTGAGAAGATGACAACTTGATCAATACTGAAAACAGCCCCATGATATCCCATCTTTCCAGAGGTGGAATGGCTCTTGTAATGTAAGATGGTAGAATAACCCTGAGGGGTTTTTGCTGCATGGCTGGTAAGAAAGGGCTGGTAGAGAAATAAGGAAAAGCATGACTTTTCAGTGTGGAGGGGCAGACCTTGGGAGGATTTGTCCGTGCAAGCTACACACCTTTAGCTCAGGTTGTGAATTACTTTTCATTTTTATGAGGAGTTGCTCACATGAGCACTCAATGCCAGTGGGATCTGTCATTAGCCACTTTTCATTGCTCGCTGTGTAGAGTGAACGTTTTCTGCTTTGGTTTTGAGTATGGCAACTTGCAAAATAGACTTCTCTTGTAAGGGAGGAGTAGAGTTTACTTTCCCAAATGTTCTACAGAAATTCTGGTTTCTAATACTTTCTGCATGTATGTAACAATTCCGAAATTAAATCTGAATCAGGAGGCCACTAACATCTTTTCTGATGTCTATTTTCTGAATTCTAGCTTTGTCTATTGAGAGGAAAGGTGGACTTCAGGCAGGCAGTTGGCTGTTCCCTTTGCATTCTGATGCCTGATCTCTGCCTGAGGAAAGCTGCAGTTACTACTTGTATGTCAGTTGGTAGAAAACAATTTGGGCTTCAGGAGGATGAGAGCGGTAGAAAGAAAGAAGCAAGACATCATTGATAAACTTATTTCTGTGAACACTGACAAGCTTTGTCATTCACTTTGCAAGAGAAATACATTGGGTTAAAGGTTTAAAATGTGCAGCTAACAGCTGACTGAGAGCAAGGGATGGTGATGGTGTTTAAGACCTTTATGTTTTTATTATCTCTGTTTGCTTTGGGCCCATAAGCAACAGATATCTTTACAAAATGATTAAAAAAGCATTAATATCTTCATTTATACATTAGTTCCTTGGACAGAAGGATGGAAAGTTCCTGAATACTGTTGTAACATAACCTTGTGACAACACTGCAGTGTAGGCTGGTGTCGCCAAAGCAATGGTCTCCATGAAAGCGTAGCTTTAATGCTTTCTTCCTTCTAAATGTAAAATTCAGGCACCCACTTTTTTACTGTTATGTTGGTGATATCCTTTTCATGAACTGTCCTGGCTCTTCTGCTTCCACCTGTTAAAATAAATAGCATCTATTAAAAAAACTCAGTAACAATAACACCAAACCCATATTGTTGTAGGGCATAAGTCCACTCCTTCAACTGCATGAGCCCGTCAGTGAATTTCTGACACCAAGTTATGCTATTTAATGAGTGCTATTAGGTAGTTCTGTCACTTAATAGGATTGAGGGTTGGAAATGCCATGTAATATCACTTCACTGGGGAAAAAATCAACAAACAGCGCTCACTGAAAACCTCACGTCCCCTTTGATGTCGGTAAGACCTGCTGTCACTTCAGAAAGGAACCCGCCGCGGCTGTTTCCACAGGGCTGCAGCTGCCATGTCAGGACAGGCAACAGTTATTCTTGGCAGTTCTACATCGGGGGCACCCCAAGAACAAATATTCTCCCACCATCTCATTGAGAGTGAAGAAATATGGAAGAGTCACAGCAAAGGCCCTTTGTGAGCTTTTGTCCATGAGACATCACCTAGTTCAGGAACAGGGATATAGAT